GTAGAAGTTGCCCTCGAAGGAAAAGGCGAGGAAAATGTGTAAACGGTCTCAAAGGCACATACACGATCACCATGGATGGGACTGTGGTCAAAACAAGGGAGAGGAGCTAGTTCTAGGCGCAGTTCGGCTTTGTGGGAGCATTTTGCCGGTTGTCATCAATCATTGCTCAACTCCTGCGAACACTTGTAAACTTGTATAGCTGTAGCAATACCATCAGCTTCGTTTAGACTTAACAAGGGTATAAAGGCCTCAACAAGGTTAGACGTGTAAGCTGACAGGAACTAGCAAAAGAAACTGGCGAAAATGCTAATGTCCCCCCCCCCTGCTGCCAGCTAGCAGCCCTTTCGACAGGAGAGAACTTGTAAACACGTCTTCTCGTCGTTTTGTGCTCGCACAAGTTCGGGTCAAAGCGGAGCTGTACGGAGGGCAATGCCGACCACTTTTCATTTTCTTTCTCTTCACTTTTGAGTTACTTACTACCTTCTCATTTGTATTTGAACCCCCTACCCACATTTTGTGATCGCAGAGGTGTTCTCAGATAAGACTTTCCCAATGGATCTTAAGAAATGCCGTGCCATCAAGGCGAAAGAACAGCGGGTCCCAGACGAGAGATCGCTTGATAAAGGGGTGGAAGAAGCGCTGATAGTAAGACCAAAGGACAGAAACAAGGGCGTTCTCCAATTCTCCAACGAAAATCAGTTCGAGGAGAAGTACAGAACCATGGCGGGTCCGGACCTATAGGGTTGTTTGCCAGAGGGCTGTGACATCTTTTATCTTAGCTTCATCCCAAGCGGGCGCAGTCTTTGTGCGTACCGTATCCATAGGAGGGAATCGTTTCACTTACAACTGAATAATGGAATGTGCCTTTACGTCGTTTTGGGGCATGTTAATATGCACTTGTTCCAGGGGATAGAGGTCGACTGGTTCCTAAGGCGTGTGGGAGCAATCCTAATTGAAGCTGCCTTAACGATTGCCTCTGAAGTTGAACAGGCTACAGCCCATAAGAATGATGTTCCGCCGTCTTCACGGCATTTTATGTAGGTTTAGGTGGTGTAGGTGCGGCTTGGTGGGGGCACTAAATAGCTTGCTAGTTCAGGCCACCTTGCGAAGACCTGTAAGCTCGTGTAACCAAAAGGCTCACTTATCCATTCTTCAGCTTCACAGGAGTTTACAGGTCTCACCAAAGTGTAGCCTGTTAATTAACATGAACTAGCACATGGACCCAGATGAAGTGCAAAATGCCCCTCCCAAGCCGAGCAGAACCAGATAAGTGAGTGAAGAGTAATACAAACCTTCTGCAGTGGTGACATTGACGAATATCAAATCCGGTGTTCGTGGTAATATTTCCGAAACACTCATCGACTGTACTGCATACGAAAGTTCATGGACAGCAGCTGGAATGAATTTATTTTTATTGGAGAATTCAAGCCCGAATCATGTAGGGAACCTACCAATTGCCTCCAACTCGAGTGAGGAGGTGCCTGGAAATCCTGCAGAATCAGCGATAGAGTCCAGATAGCCATTACGTGGGCTTGCAGCCAGTGAACGATTCATTGACGACAGTTTTTGCAGAGAGATTGATATGGAGCTGTAAATAGCGGTTATGAAATTCTTCAGAAGATACTAACGACCTTCTTATCAGTGAAGTAGAATTTTTTGATTGTCTGCAGGAAGAAAAAGAGAAGGGTAGTTTGGCATGTGACTTTCACGTGAAGTCTAATCTTCACTGCAATTTTAGGTAGATAAGTGTGCGAAAAGAAGTACAGCTTCGTTTTAGCTTTCGCTGATATTCACGTGATTTTCACGTGATTCATACTGGTCGCTTTCAGTGAGCCTGCTACACCCCGATATCCTTGAGATGTGGTGGGCGTGGCCACATACCCCTTTTTAACGTGACAAGAACATGGCTTATGCCATTTGGAAATTGAAGTTTTGGGCTAGTCTTTGTGCAGCAGAAAACGGGATGGCTATTATTAGAATGCAATATCTCGCAAAAAAACGCATCCTTGGCCATGTTTGGACGAAGTACCGAGCCACGCCCACCACGTCTGCAGGTTATGGAGCGTGAATAAGGACCCTGTTCTCTCGACAAAGTAGCGAGAAAACTTTAATACCTATGGGTGGACTGCTCCCAGATCATATTTGGAGTACCCCATGACCTCGCCTTTAACCCATTATCCTGGAGCCTAAAATAAGTGGATGCATATGGGGCTGACAATCACGTGCAGGTTCAAGTGCCGATAGATAGCGCGAATTGGGCGATTCGTTACCAACTGTCGGTGATCAATCAGGCAAATGTATGTGTGGAGAAACTTGATGTAAAAACTTCCTGGTCACGCTCAAACAACATACGTTGTGTTCCTGTTGGTCTTGTCAACAACTACGAAACAATTAAAGGCGCTCACGGCTCGGAGGGGGCATATTGCACTTCTGCTAGCTCCTTTTATTTGTTATCAACGAAAAGGTGAGATTAGGAAACTCTTGTGAAGCTACGAAATAGCGAGTGGGCCATTTTCGTTGCAGGAATCTACTGGTCTGTGCAAGGTGGCTTATACAAGCTTAGCTGATTACCATTGCCCCCAGCGGTTCAAACTGCGCCCAATTCAAATACGAAACTATTAGGGGGAGAGAATTCTGTATGGTGGAGGGGAAAATTTGGCCTTCCAACCGGGACTCCTCTCCCACCCCCGTCTCAAGTTTAACCCCTTTCGACATAAAATCCGAATTCATCCTCCTCATGAGCCCCATAGACCTCCTGTTACTGAGAAAAATAGTCAATAGTGGACTAAGCTATGTTAGAAAAGTGGCCATCAGAGGGCTAAGCTATGCAGGAAGCGCGCGGGGGGGGGGAGGGGGTAGCGACCTCGAAGCACTGTTGATATGGCCGCTGTAACTTTCATCTTGATTGTTTACACTTTTTCGGTCTGAAACAAGAGGGGAGAGGGCTGGAGAGGGAAGGTGGCTTCGGTGGCAGACGGTGGAACCTCCTTGCCTTGCCAATTTTTTCCACCCATCAAGATCAGCAGAGCTCTTCCACCAGCCACCTTCCCTAGATGGCGCTACTTACCACATTGTAGGAAGTTAAGTCTCAGGTTGGTTCCCGCTTGAGGTAACAAGGCTTTCCATCCTCTGGAACCGGTTAATTGGTACCAGGGTCGTCTGTGAGGAAAAAACGTCACCATATTTTGGCTGATACCGCGTAATGACAATAGTGATCACGCTGCGGTGTCAGGAGGCCTAGAATGAGCCCACCCTTGTTGTTTTCTTGGTCGTTTTTTTCCTGGACCGATCACTATTGGTAGGAAACGAAGCCGGTTATGAGATCAATCAACTCCATACATCGCATCTACGTTCTACTAAGTTTACGATTAGGTTGGTCGTCAGTGGAAATCTCTTTTTCAGAAGGAAAATCAGAGCGCTTTTCCACATTCTGCCCTCGCAAACGGCCTTCTTTGGATAGGAAATTGTCGTTTGCAAGTCCAATCAATCTTTCCGACTGTCACATGCAGAAAGTGGAAATTACAGCGCAATTCCATTAAGTGCATGCAATCCCTGGAGAGATGGCTAATCTAATTTGGGAGTTTGCAACTGGGCAATGAACACTACGGGAAAAAGGACTCGGGAACGCGAAATGAATGTGGCCATATGTGATACATACATACCAAAACTCGCGAAAAACGCCAGGATAATCGCCAGCCTTCTGCATATGAGAACCCCGATGCGCTACTCAGGACAAAAACGAAAATCGGAACCGGAAATGGGTTTCAACGCAGAACGTTCCTGCTCTGGAGCTATACGGTGTGAAGAAGGCCAGGCCTGCTCCA